TCATAAGCCGAATAAATATCATCTTGTCTACTTCAGAAGATTCATTGCTTGAGATTCTACTGACCTCTTATTCAATGTATTTATTTATATGAAAATAATTGTATTATAGCCTCAAAATACCTTAAAAGTCCTTGGATTTGTTTTTTATGTTCCTGGATGATCGAGCCTTATTATTAAAGCCCAGCATACGCCTATATGCTTTTCTGACTTCCTGGATGCGCACGCCATATATGATAGGGTCCAGCAGCGGATTCAGCATATACAAGTTAATAGCAACGGTATCAACAATGCCGAAATTTTCAGGGAGGGGCGAAGGGATCAGGTCAAATGCGAAAATTATTGAAAAAGTCACGACGCCGGTGCCCCAGAAGACAAAAACGGTACCCCACAGCGTCGCTACAGTTAGACTTACTTTGACAGTCGACACTTTCACAGAGACGCTCGCTGATGGACTTTGTGCCAGTTGTTTCCGAGTTTTGTAGAGGAGTAAGGCCAACATCGCCGTGTTCCCAACGAACGCTATGGCTGTTGTTATACTGACAGTTCCACTGACGGCTAAATACACTGGCTGAGACATCAGAGTAGCTAAGCAACCATCTTGGGGTTCCTTTATGTACTTGTAGGTGATTCCCGCGGAGAAGGAGACCGCAGGGATGAGATAGGACAAGATCACGAAAAACGCCGTTGGCTTCTTGTTGACCTTCATGGTCAAATCCAAGGGATACCATACTATAGTGAGTTGGTGGTATACGAGCGAGGTAGTAGCCATCAGAGGCAATAGAGTGAAATAACTCATCAGACAAACGGTAAACCTCTCAAGGCAAGCTAAGTTTATTAAACCAACTGGGGCTTTCTCGTCGAAGTCATGGGCAGTCGCTTCTTCACCAAATGCCATACTTGTAGCGTTCTCAGTGAAGTTCGCCGTCTCATCAAAGACATAAGCAACGTCCTGTGAGTCTCTAGGGTTCCGAGAAAGTGAAATCTTCGTCTGAAAGTAAATATTGACGCATATTGCTACCGCCATAGTAACGGCAAGGATAAGGTCTGACACTGCCAAATTCACCAAATTGATTTGGAAAGTTGTAAAGGGTCTTGTCAACCTACCCAAGGCTGCCAACGAAATGCTGTTCATCAGTACGGCGATCACTGATAGACTAAGTAGGGTCTCCCGCGACGGTGGTAAAAGCGCTTGTTCCAACTGCGAGGTGTAGATCTCAAAATTAGACGAATTCAACATTTTGAGTTTGGTCATTGTCAGCCACGGAGGTATATCCTACTAAAACTCACGTGGAAGTGATCGGCTTAAACACAGGTTTGATCTAAATGCAGAATTTGGTTAGCAACAGTATAAGTGACCTGTTATTGAGGATAATAGACGAGTAAAAATACAAGTGATGCATTCTTACCAAAGACTTCTTTGATAAATGCCGTTTTCTTCGTCATCAATGCTATTTGCAAAATTAGGAATAATTGGAATAATTCAAAGTCATATCTAGGCTGAGGATAATAACCAAAAATCCTCGTATCGATTCGGATAGCGGGTTTTCTACTGTCACAAATAAAAGCAGTCTAGGGGTTTCCGTCATTAGGGGCTATTTGGTGTTACATAAAGAAGTCCTCAAGATTTGATCACTATTAGTAAATTATTTTTTCCTTTTTGCTTAAGATTTGTATAACATTTGTGAATATTTTTGGTTTATAATATTGTCACAAATCACCTGTTCTTGTGACCCAGAAATATTTTAGTTTTATGTTCTTTTTGTTAGTTTTATCATGCCATTATATTCATACTCAAAATACATTTCTGCAAGTGATACCTATAGTTTTTATAAGCAGATGTCATCTTCAAAACACCGTCTTTAGAGATCAATCGGACAAAGCTGCGTTAACAACCGGCTGGAAATTAGTCAAATTGTTCATGTAATTTGTTGTGTTTGGTTTACTTGGTGGGTGGCGACGGATACTGGCTTGGCTTAACTTTGTCACTCAGGGGGAAATATACTTATAGGCATATAAGAAATTATATGGAAATAAGTCAAATTATTCAAGTAGTTTGCTGTGTTTGGTTTACTTGGTGGGTGGCGACAGATACGGACTTGTTTAATTTCGTCACTCGGGGGGAAGTGCACTTATTGCCATACCTTTAATAAACTAAAACACTGTATGTGCTTGCTCCGTATAATAAGAACGCCAACGGAACAGTTATCAAGCAATGACAATTACCTGGAATTCATCGATGACCCTGCTATCTAAGAAAGTTACTTTGGCCTGCATTGCCCTTCACATTCTGGTACATTACACATCTTCACTGTCGTCTTTCTCTGTCGGAATCTTAAATTGTCTCGGTACGTAATCCCAACAAACGAACTGTTCATAATTTATTGTGATCGGTACACACATTTAGGTAAATATTATCGTCATCCAGCCAAACTTCAATATGAAATGTGGGATTAAAATGTTATCACCCTCGTGCACCCATGTATCATAGTGCATGAAATTACGCGATCTGAAAGGTAAACTTTTATATTTATATTATTTTATCAGGGGTAGGGGTTGAACTCTGAAATAATAAACTCTATATCATGGGCGTTGATCATCAAGAACAGCATCTTAGTCAATTTAAAGTATAAAACAAAGAGCATCGTTTGTCAGATACAGGTTGAGGAAATGTGTCAAACAAGACAGCAATGAACGAAGGGGACAGTATACCCAATCTCCTCAAAATAAACAAACAAATAAATAAATGGATTGAATTAATAAATAATAGTTAATAAAATAAAATAAAATAAAGTAAATAACTTTTTGTCATTTGTGAAAGTACGATGTTCTGCATCCAGGAGATCATAACAGTACGCACGCTATTAGACACGTGACTTACAAAGAACACATTCAGATGTTAATTGTGCATAGATTTAGGCACCTTTTCTACATCTATGGAAATCGATATGGAACATCAGATTTGAGGAGGTGCATGTTCATAATTTGAATAGATGAGAAACATATGGATATACATTGGTACTTTGTCACGTTATATACACATTTTATCTTGAATCGAATAAACTAAATCACTGTTTAAGTCATTGTAGCTATGATGTGACAATTTGTAAGCAAAACGCCATGGCACTGGAGGTATGACAACCTTTTTCACGAAAAGTGTACTGTAAAATTACGTTTGAAATTGGGTAACACGCTCTAATGAATCATCCCATTTTTATGATCTACCTAAAGGCTGCTTCTTCGGAATACTACAGAACAGTTTATTTACATAGATACTTTGCCTGTACGTTTAGCTTCCGCCCTCGNAGAAGAAGTTTTTTATTTCTGGCATTTGCCTTGCCATTTGTATGCATGTGATGTGTGAAAGGATGGCAGAGACAAAAATGCATTTTAAATCCATTCAACACAGTTGTTATATTGATTCTGAAGTTTCATGAAATTTGATTAGACTGATATATGTTCACTAAGTTGAAGGAGTTGAATTATTTAATGCTATGCAACCATTCATTTTCCCTTGTAAAATACCAAGTATTTGAGGGAATATGTTTTAAGTGGTCTAATTTTTGGTTACTCTTCTAAATGGCATGTTTAATTTAGTAACAATCACTATCTATTCAGTGCATTGTATCTTTTTTCCAGTTATGATTCCAAACCTTGTAGTCTTTTAGATCTGAAAGCTTGCTAAGTTAACAATAAAAATTTAATGATTTAAAAAATTTAATTCAGTGCTTTAACATTTTTCTTTCAAACCTCTTTATGGAATTGAGATATCTTCACAACTTTCATTTTCTGGCACAACAACCACATTTGATTTGCTAATATACCTTATACTCATCAAGTGTAATGAATAAAACTTTTTTTATTTTCCAGGCATGCGAGCTGCATATAGCTGGTTACTCATTCAATGTCCTGAACAATGCCTTTGTTGTTCACAAAGGATTCAAAACAAGAGATGTATTCCACAAAACTAAACAAGAAGATATGAAAAAGAATAAACTGTTATTCCGTCAGTTCAAAGAAGATATGAAAACAAAATACCGTGACTCACCAAGGAAGTGTCATTGATAGTTTCTTTAACACATTTTTGTTTTTAAAAAATGAGCAAACAATTAATAGTAGTGAACAAATAAGTTTTATTTTAAAAAGACTGATTGTGGGATAGTGGAGTAATGAAACATTTTACTGGTATATACAGACTATCACTTCAGATGCTGTCAAATGTTCTCACTTGGTGTCTTTTTTAAGACCAACATTTTACACTTATTATTAGCCTGGTGAATGGTTGCAAAATTCCTTGCATTTCTACAATTGAAATGATTTTAGGATAGGTGGTAATTTTATTTCTAAAAAGAAATGTAACATGCCTGGCAGTTGTTTTGTCAAGTTAGTACAGAAATCCATGGGTCCTTTTTACTGTGTTCCCAATTTTACGTGCAATAATTTTATTGAGTAATCATTTTGTTGACTACATAGTGGTGGAGTGGGTCTCTTAAGTCAGTTCATTGTAGTTTTTAAGTACTACCTGAAGTTGCAGCTATCTATCTTAATATGTCTTTCATAACAAACATTTATGTTTGAAATCCAACTTATTTCTATTTTAAAATGAATTTATGAAGGTTTTAATAAATTCATATTTTCTGTTGGTTTCTCAATTTAGCACAAAATAATGCCACTCTAGCATTGAAAAAATATATTTCAATCTAAAATGCAACAAGGTCTTAATAAATCAGAAAGATACAATGCTTAAAACTTTATTAGAGTTAATTATTATAGTGGCACCGTTTTATGGTTATTTCTCTTGAAGAGACTTCAATCTTTTAATCAGCCATCTTCAAAATTACAATAAAGGCCTCCTTATGGCCATTAATGTTTATTGAATACAATAAAGGTATTTTATATAACCCAAGCAAGACCCCCACTTAATTTTATTTTTGACAATGAATGAGTGATGTATGACCTTCTATTTCAAGAGTTGAAAACAAAATGACGAGCACACGCTAAAGTACAAATATAAAATATTTATTGAATGTGAATTTTAAGTTGGAGGGAGAGGGAACAACAGCCCTTATGCAAAAAGTGTCTAGTTCTGCAAAGGAGAGAACTTGTTTGTTATTTTTACTCAAATTGTAAAAGTCGCCTGTCATACTCGCTTGTGAAGTCTATTTTCTTTTTCTATAAATAAGATTTCAATTGTTCAGTGAAAAGCAGACCTCAATCACTGTCGCTCCCACTGCCAAATATCTCCTCCTCATCTTTCTTCCCTGCCTCGCTCTCTGCTTCACTTTCACTCCCACTGCCAGCATCACTTCCACTTCCCTTTCCACTTCCTTCATGATCACTCCCACTACTGCTGCTGCTACTACTGCTGCCACTACGACTGCGAGTGCCCCCAGATTTCTCACTACGCTTCTCCTCCTCATCCTCACTCTTCTCTCCTCCACTCTCCTTGGCGTTTTCCACATCACTGCCTTCTTTCCTTTCCCCAACTTGATCTGAAACAACCAAGGAGAAACTTGGAATTATGTACAAGTTGAAGTGTGTCCACAATAACTGGCACAATATTAACATACAAACAGCCTTGCAACCAGCAATTTCAAAGTAGGTGTTTTCTGGCAAAATGGCGTTTTTTTATTTTTTATTTTTTTTTTTCAGCCTCCCTAAAACCATCTGCCTAGTACAAGCCTGTACATATTATGGAATGTAAACATATTATGCATTGTAAATAACAATTTTTCACAGCACAATTAGTTACATTTAAAAATGATTCCCTTTCTACTGAACTTGAAGTTGAAAATCATATTACCTGGCCTGAACTCAAACTGCTCCAACTCTTCCTCCTCACCTGGTGGCTCCAGCATGGTCAGCCTGGCCTCCTGGGAACAGAGATGCAACAGCATGTACTCTACATAACTAGTTATTCCTGTGGTTGTGCTCAAGTTTTCCTGCTGTCATACCTAACACAATCAGCTGAACATATAAACTTTTTCTTTGAGTGAGATCTTCTTCAGTCATTAAGGAATAGTAGTCTAGATGACTGGTGCAAAAATTGCTCAAAAAGTGGAAAAAGCATGAAACTTGGCACAAATGTTCTTTGGACTATGCTGATCATTTTCAAGGGCAGTGCCCAAAATTTCAAAGCGTTGCTTAGCAACCGTTGCTAAGGAAGTGATTTACCTTAGTAACAAGCTAATTGGACCTTTCTTGTTCAGTTTAAATGATTAAAAAAGACTTTTAATAATGTTTCAAGCTATCAGAACTATCACTATACTATTTTAAGGCATTAAAAACCCAAGTAAACCATTGCAACAGTTGCTAGGCAGCATATTACCCTAGCAACAAGTATTTAACATTATATATTTAATAATATATATTTAATAATATATATACAGATATCTCTGTAGCATTTTACATACCCTCCAGTTCCTTCTGTCCCCAGATCTTTCTGTTCCCATTCTACATATACTAACGTATTTCTTAATTATTAAGATAGGTACATAAATAGTGTATGCTTGCACAAACCCAAATACAAATATCTCCGGAGATCTATCAATGACCACACCTAAATTATCTTTAGCGGGGCAAATGATGCACATCCAAACATTTTTTACATGTGGACAATCCCAAAAAACGTACATAATATTTTTCCTAGCAGTATTGCAAAATTCTCAAATTCATAAGATAAGCATAAGTATTGAATATTCTATGATTTAATCTGAATTGGAGCAACTTCATTTTCTTGTGATCTGTTTCTTAAATGTTAGTTCCCAATTATCAGTACTCAAGTTTTTTTTTAAAATATGTCTGCCATTCACCCACACCTTTATCTGGCGATATTTTATGGCTTTGGAGGATTTTTTGTGAAAAAATATCTGGATGGTTTGGTAACTTGTTTAATTGAGTCAATTATTTCTTGGATTGCTATGCTCAATTTACTTCCATGGGAAGAGATAGCCATTCAGATGGTAAGCTCTTCTGGATGCTGAATTAGCCTAGAAAGTTAGTGTTAAGGTTGATTTTTTGTTGAGTTCCTCTAGAAGAGGGGATTTCAAATGTCATTTATAATATCATTGATGTAAAAAAACATTTTTACACCATCTTTTATGGAAAATAGTTTTTGCAATTTCTTTCAATTCTTGAGAATTGACATAATGGTTGTGAAAGGATTTCATCTGGGGTTAAATTGAAATTTTCCTGAATTTCACTCAAAGAACCAATAATCTTTGCCAAAAGGGATAAGAAGTTGCTTTTAGTATTTTTAATCCACCTTTTGTTACTACCGATTCCTGACATTTCGCCGAGAAAAACGCTCTCCACTTACTCTTTTTTCTTCATAAAGAAGTCTTTAAGCCATGTAAAGTTTAGGGCCTTGGTAAAATTTTTATTTGCGGTACCTTTTACCGTCCATTTTTGTAATCAGATGCCATCCTTGCTCATTTTATTTTGTATATTGTCCCATTCCAGATAAAGTTACATATGATATGCATATTTTTAAGTATTGAGGGGGGGGGGGGCTGGTAGGAGAGTTTATACGTGCACAACGTAAGATGAGAAATACTAAAGGTTTAACCACTGTTGACTTTCCTATTATTGAAAGGTTTCTCAGAGACCAGATTTCCAAGATATTTTTCATTTTGTTCAATATTTTCTAAAACGTTTTTTCACATTGTATTTTGTCAGTTTCTATTCTCTACCAAGTAACTTAAGTACACCTGCATGATTCTATTTTAATTCTTTTTGTTAATCAATGAAGTTCAAAAGTTTCTGTTCACACCCAAAGGCCGTTAGATGCCATATCTTACTTCCACCAAGGCTGCTCTACAACAATATAAGAGTATTCTTGCGAGATAAACATAGCTGAATCAGCACTACGGTGCCATGTCATCAGATACCATGTGCTCACTCTGGTTGGACTTGTGCGGAACAGTGGACCCTTGTGGACACATTTGCCAGAAGCTATTCACCTGCCCAAAGTTGCTCCAGTGTGCATGTAGGTGCAAATGTAGAGGCTGACAATGTGCAAGGGCAAAATGCACTGTATATTGCACATACAAGGGAGAATTTAACGTCTTAACTATTGCAAAGTTTTATAAANAATTTTAATTAAAAAGCAAGACATCTCAAATTGAAATCAACTTCCTGAGAAAATTAAAAATGTAAATAGTTTAAAGAAGAACTACTGGTAAATTACAGTAAGATTCAATTTTTCTAAGCCCAGGGTACATTTGTATTTACCAATAATCAGATCTGGCCTGACTCCGGGATACTTTTCATAAAGACCCTTATGGATGGTGACATTCACATTTTGATGCTGCATTTGTTTTTTATGGACCTTTTTGCAGATTTCTGGCCCTATTAGAATAATTGTGAGCTGTATTTCTGGCAATAATGCTCCGAGCTCCTAAAATCCAGCAAATGTAAAACAGGGTTGATAAATATCATTGTATGCAAACATAATCAGTCATAATAATCAACAGAAAACAAAAGCTATTATGAACTAGAGGATCAGAGAGGCGATACCGCCTCCGGGTATTGTACCACCAGCTGGAGTAAGCACATTCGGATGGAAAGCCAAAAAAAAAGACACCACCACCACCAGTCTTGTGCTTGACAGGCTCTATGAAATGCAATAAACAAGAGTTCTCAAAATATGCAAAAAAA